TCAAAGCACCTTTGGTGTTGAGGGCCTGCAAACCTGGGATTCAATGCACGAAGGCTAGGTGTTGTGACTGATTCTTTACTGCCAGAAACGATTATTTGCCTACACTTTTAATTTCTTCGATATTTGGGAGCCAACCCCCCCCCCCCCCCCCCTACCCAGGCAGCACAGCACGTCGGGCCCACATTGGCTGTGAAGGGGGGAGTGTTGGCGACATCAATGAGCTGTCCCTGTAGACCCCACGTCAGCTCTAATGTAGCGGGCAGCATTTGTCCCATCAGTGGGCAAGCCTTCTATCTAATTTATTCGAATAAACGAGTTTCCCACAAATGAAGCAAGATGGCTCCTAAATTGTCAAGATGTCAGTGGTATTAGGGAATGATTCGCTTCAAGTTTCCATTAATTTTCATGCAGTCCCTGATCTTTTCCCACAGACAACATAGGGGGAGATACTCAATACCTCAATGCATTTGTTTAAACAGGTTCAACAGTCCAGAGAGACTCCTGAGAATTGTGGCGGAGGGATGGTTCAACTGGGGGCCTGACCCGATGGGATTAAGATAATTAGAAAGTTCCGATTGTGGAGTCTGTGCTTGGCTCCCCTGTGATGGATGAAGATTAGGGTGTGATGGAAAAGATCGCTTAAGGGATCATATCTGACAAACAATTCTAGAACGTGAACAGAACCAAATGAGTGGTAGAAGAAATCTCAAAGGGGTTCTAGTCCCGTGTGGAAAGCAGTGGCGGCTCATGATATTTAGCGCTAGTGGTTCTTCTATGTAGGCAGTGCCCCCCCCCGCCACCCCTTCTCCATATACAAACCACTAGCGCTAAATATCACGAGCCGCCACTGGTGGAAAATGAATACCTCAAAAGAAGACAATTGAGGGAGATAGTACTCGTTGAACTACTTCCAGCCAGACCAAGGGATACTAGGAGGCAAGGTCCCCGGTAGGGTAGCACAACAGTAATCTATCTCTATAAGCAAGGATCTCTCTCCCTCTCTGTCCATCTGACGCTATGCATTCGGACACCGTTGGAGATATCGACCTGAAACCTTCGCAGGAGGGTGGGGTCTGTCCAGTAGCAGGTCATACCCCCTATGATCGGGGTCAGGGGGGGCGGCTCCGGGGGGGGGGGGGGGGGC